CATGGCCTTGGCCCAACATGGCATGCATGTAAAGCTTTTAAAGCTATATGTAGACTGTGGTGGCATTAATTAGCTGGAGAAGGGTAAAAAACATCCATCCTAGATGCAACAAATATCCTAGAGATAATGCATATGAAGGACCTCCAGATAAACTTTTGCCTTGAGGAGCCCCAGCCTCACCAGCAGCCCTCAGCCCCAAAGTCTCATGCTAAAGCTAAGACTGCAGCTGCAAAGCATTGCGCACTTGGATATTTATCCAAACCATTGACCTAGAAGCTTAATTCTGCAGGCGCATGTGTAAATATTTTCAGACTTCAGGCTTGCACCCTTGGCAACCGTTTGGGGCCATCTTGGCACCCAGGAGCAAGGGATTAGTTTTCAAATGATCACTTTAGTATTTTCATTTCGGTATCTTAAATTTTACCCTTTCTACCAGTGCCACTTTTTTTTGGCTACAAAACATAGCCCTCATCCAGCCAAAAAAAGCTGGTTGGACAGAGGTGTACCTCCTTCTCTATTTTGGGGACCGTTTCCTCCCACAAAACACATGAATGGATGGACTGATCTAATAAAGTTGCACGTTGTGGGAGGGAAGGGGCAGACCGCAAACGCTGTGAAATATTTGTAATGAAAAACCTTACGCTGGCCCGTAGTTGCAGATGAAGTGTGCTGCGTTGGTTACGGAGATGTACGCCACCCTGGGACAGAAATGGACAGCACAGCCAACCTTGTAGCTTGTAGCCCAAACAATCTGCAAAGACAGACGGGTACACTGGTGACCATAGCTTTGCTTCAGCATCTGAAGCGTAACGGAGAAGACCTTCCCTCCTCTGTTTCATGACAACAAATTGAGGAGCACTCCTTGGGCAGGCTTCATGAGGGAAAGCGGCAGTGATGGATCTCGAAATCGTCTTTTATTCTGAAAAACGCCCAATTGTTTTGCACAATTCACCAGCTGTTTATTAAAATGACTGAAAGAAAGAATAACAGGCTGTAACAGGTAGTTTTCCTCTCTTGCAAAGGAGGTGGTGAAGTTCATCTCCTTTGCTTCATGGCAATCCATTAGCTTTGCTACAGCTCCTGCAAGGGCTGGTTGCCCCTCTACTAAATCCAGAGGGGACGTGTAGGCAAATTGCTGGAAGGCACTGGTATTATGGGAGAAGCAGGGAGAAGGAGCATGTCCAGGCTGTGGTCCTGCCTTTTAGCATCTCGGCCACACTTAAGATAATCTAGAGGCAAGGGCATTAAATCATCTAATGATCCTCTGTCTACTACAAGCCGTTCAGTTCGACCCAGCATCCTATATCCAGCTCAAAGAGTACAGTGCAGCCAAATGCTTCAGTCCTGGAAAAACAAACCCCGTGACAGAAGCAGAGGGGAGGCGAGGGTGCAGCGGTACCTCAGGGCTGTACAGCAGCAGCGATGACTGACTACGTGAGGAATGTGGAGAGATCCCGGCAGCACAGGAGATGAAGAAACACCGACTCTCTCTCGAGCCTCTGTCAGCTCGAAGGGGAGGCCTGGCCGTTTCTGTTTGTGGCTGTTTGGTGCCAGCTCTGGGGAGAGGACACGCTGCTTGGGCTCCTGAGGGTGTTCTCAGTGCAGCGGCAGAGCAGAGGCTGTTCCCAACGTCAGCCATAGACAGCTGCATCCCCGAGGATGGTGAAGGACCGAATCACAGGACCCTCCCCGTCCCGGGCGGCCACCGGCTGAGGCACATGCTGGGAATGTGGCTGTGGTAGCTGCAGTAATTGTACCCAGAGGAAACTCCTCTACAGCTGGGAAGGAGGGAGAGGAACGAGAGGTTCGGCAAAGGTCCAGACCCAAGGATGCCTCCCAAAGCTGGGCAGACACGCAGCTTCCAGCTACAGTCACTATCACCGCTGAGTCCAAGTGAGAATAATCTTACTTTCTCATTCTCCCCCATGCAACCATCTGGGCTGCTCCTTTACAAACAACATGGTAAACAGCACGGCGCCTTAGAGGCAGGTAAGGTGCATTTCACCACAGTTTCCAGATGCTGACTCTTGCCATGTCCTGTGAGCAAGGTCAAAAAGCAACACGCTGTCACCTCTCATGGCTCTCTCATCCAAATATCTTCTCTGCAAGCAAGAACCTGCTTGTGTCATTCAGACACCCCTCCAGCTTCAGCTCATCCCTTCAAGTCCTAAATGCGTATGTGCATCTCCGCAGAAAATATTAAATAGCTTCAGGTCAAAATCTAACCCTAGAGCCACTGTTGCAAGCCGTTGCTTTCCCATAGCCATGGTTAGTTCTTCGGAAACTGTGGTTGGGAAAAATGATGCTTGCAGAGCTGCAGACATCTCTTTACATGCCGGTATTTCCCCAGCCCTTGGCATGGCTCGTGGTGCCATGTGGAGGCTGCCTGCCAGAGCTGGGACCTCGTCCCACCACGCACTGCAGCCCACAGCCATTGCCGTTGACAGGTTTTTGGCCACTCCTTGGCTAAATCTGACTGCTTGATGGCTGTTGTTTTCCTCCTGGAAACAAAATACAACTGGCATATTTAAAAAAAAATGCAGTGATTTTTTTCCTCCCTAAAATGGGGACATGAGAACATCTCGTGCACACAGACAGAAAATAAGACTACAACACCTGGAAAACAGTTCATTGAATCTTCAACAGAAATCTAGAGTTTCTGTGTCAAAATGGCAATGCTGGTTCATGGTTTAGATGGAGAAATGCAAAGCTTACCTGCGTATAGTGGCCACATGCTCCTCTGCAGTTATTTGTGGCGTAATTGTAAGCGCTGACCTCGTTGTACCACGAGGTGATGGCTCCTTGCACAGTGAAAATGGAAAGGGAGCCAGTCCAGAGGTTTTCTCCAACGGGGCTAAATTTGGGGTGAGCCTGCCCTGGATCTTCGAGGTACGTATTATGTTTAAACAGGCATTTCTTTGCCCAAGCTTTCGCGGTCTTTGCCAAATCTGGATCCCAACTCTGCAAAATAAAGACAACTGAAAATCACTTTGGTATTTTAGCAATGCAGTAATTCAGAGCAACGTTCTGGAAAAAGCTGGGTCTTAATAGCGTACATGCTTCATGTTCGTTTGGTTTTGCTTCTGCTGAGACTTAGCTACATGGTAAATTGGCTTGTAGGTTCATTTCTGATTTGAACTTAGTTACTCATTAAACTTGAGGAAGTTTTTGGGGTGGTGGGTGGTCTTGGCTGATTGGTTTGTTGGACACCAAGAGCTGTACATCAGTCAAATACAGCGTTTGGGGCGCAATGTGCATTTCCAGGCTGTGCCGGCCATGAAAGAATGTTAATTTGATTTAAACAGTGAATTTACAGGAAATCTGGGGATTGGGGGGTATGCTTACCCTGCCAATCAGACTGGAGTGCAGGCTCATGCATTAAGGCCACTGCTTGCAGGTCAGTTCACGAGCGTGCTGCAATTTTTGGGACAGTTTAAATTAAACCCCTTGGTTTGCATCTTTGTGTTTGGTGGCTTCAAATGTTAGTGCTGAATTCATATTTGTGGAATCATTCATTCAGTTGCTATTCAATCCTACAGAAAGTGGTTATTTAAGCAATTGAGTTATATAAACGTCTTTTGTTTGCACTGGAGGTGGTGTCTGTTTTTGCTGGGTTTTCTTGTGCACACAATTTGATTGAGCAAGTACTGCATTGTACCTCCTGGAAAATGCAGTACCACGAGTGTGTGCCTGTACTTCCAGTTACACTTTGTAACACTCGTTACAGAGTCATGTAAATGAAGCTGTTCAGCACTGCTGAACTATTTCGGATTGGACGGTTTGAAAAAATAACCTTTTTTTATTTGTCCTTTTCTATATGGATTAAAATATCTCAGTTGCTTCTGCAAACAATAGAATCACTAGAGAAATTGTTTTGAACGGATCAGTAACAGTGACTAAGGAAAAGGACTTGGAGGTTGTTAGATTTTATGGCTATGTTTTACATAATGTAACTTTTTGGTACCATAGATAAGTCTGAAACAATTTTTGTATTGTTTATGCTACCAATAAGTAATTAAAAATTGCAACATCATACCAAAATACATCTACAGAGATTTGAAAATGCTTTGTAACCTATGCCTTCCATTTCTTCCTATGGCTGACATTTGGGGCGGGGGGGCGGTATTTTCCCACAAAACTAACACATAAATAGTTTGCCTAGGAACTCCGAATATTAAAGGGGCAGGGGATCTTATTTCAAGTCAGCAGTTGATATTTCCTTAGATGATAACTTTTAAGGACAATGAATCAAATCTGGCATTGTACAGAAGTTATCTTCCAGCCCTAGCATTACTGCAAGTTAAGACAGAGGCTGCAGTTTACATCTTGGCAATCCTCTGAGGTCGCAAGGAGAACACCATGATGAAAGATATATAACAGCGGCAGATGCACCTTAGTGCTTCCCAGTCTTATTTTTCACATTCTGCTTTTTAAGAGTCCGCACATCTCTTTTCTCCTTCATCCTACAATAGTATTAATAATAAGTTTAAAGTTCCATAAAGGTATACATAATAATATGTTTAAAGGTAAATTAGTAAGTTTAAATATGCTTTCCTTTTTTGTGTGTGAATGCTTACAGTTGAAAAAGCAATGTGCAGAAACTGATCATTCAGAATGATCTTTAGTTTAACTATAGTTACACTCCTTATTTGCGTACGAAACTGCATTTATGCAAAAAGATTGGACTAAACTGCATGGGGAAAAATGCACAGGACAGGGAGGTTTGCATATATATCTCATTGCTGTTTGAGAAAATAGTAATTACAAATCTTTTTTCCCATGAACTATTTCTCAGTTTTGGTTTTATAACTCAGATGAGTTGCTTGCTGATTTAGGGAGGGAAAACCAAACATACGGTAAGTGAAAAGTGATGAAAGGCAGCAGTAAGTCAAAGGAGACTGTTGTGAAGCCCTGATGAAGCTGGTGAGACTCTTTCTGCTGGCTTTGAAGAGCCTTGGAAGACCTAAGATATGCTTGGGTGAATGGGAAAAGGGTCACATTTGTCAGGTAAAAAAAAGTTAGATCAGCATTCTTATTTTATAATAAATGTATTACAAATATAGATGGTTGGGCTTTGTTACTTGCAGTTAAAGGAGTTTCTGTCTTGTATTTTCTTTTAAAAACTATTTTTCCAAAAGGTAGAAGCATCCTGAGTTCATAGTCTTCATTTTTACGTATCTAGGTGGACAGTTATCTACAGCAAACAGAAGTTCCCTGTGAAATAAAGAAGTCATGTTCTTTTCCTCATTTTTTGAAGTGCTAAAGGCCATTCAAAAATGAAGAAATATGCTGTTTTCAATTCCAACGCTTTTACTTTCCTAATAGATTTTATCATGTATTGTACTGCTTTCTCCACGTTAAATTCTTCCTAGGAGAGGTCATTCTTAAGACTAGGGGGTTTGCAGTGTTTTAAAAGAAACTTATCATGGTTTAGTTCTTGTTTTATTTGTAATAATCTTTGTTTGTTTGTTTCTTAAGCCATTTTTTTCAGATTTCAGTTCTTCAATTTTTCAAAAGGAAAAATTAGGCACAATTTAGAAAGATGAATACTGCTTTTTTAATACATCATAGCAAGATTTTGTTAGTGTAGGGCTAGTAAAGCAATCTAGAAAACAGAGTTTGGAGCAATGTGTACTGGAAGTTCAGGATGCCTGGCTGAAGAAAGCTGAAGTAAAAGACACATCTAGAAGAGAAACTAAATTGTTTCCTGTCAGGCTTGCCACTCGAGCTTGTTCGCTGCTCACTTACCCCTCCCTAATGGGCACTTCTTTCTTAATGTTTGACAACCAGAAATGGAAAATGAGCTTTTTTTTTTTTTGAACTTCGGTTTAGGGTGTTACTAATTACAGATGTGGTTATGTCCTCTTCTGGTAGTGACCATGCGAGATAGTAAGAAAGAGGAGCAAAAGGAAAGAGATCAGAATTAGGACAATCACTATGGTTCACCTGAGACATCTGTGGAGATTATCCCAAGAAGAAACACGCTATCTCAAGTATTACCCAGTCAAAGCACAAAAGGTGTGGATGTTGCAAGAGACAGCTCCCAAGCTACTGGGATTGAACATCTCACGAATCAGAGGTGGGCTTCTCAGCCATAAGCCCAGCTTTGTGCACGCATTTACAGCTTCCTCCTTGCTGGGTTTTGCATGTGCCACCCAGCAGGGAGACAAGTGTCACGAGCCATCTGAAATGAGAGGTGGCCACTTTTGGGTATATTTTGAATCACGACCGGCTGTCCTTTGCACGGTGGCTGCAGACGCTGCCCCCAACGTGGCCAGGGAGAAGGCAGGGGGGCACAGCGGCACGGGACCTGATGCCTCCAGCGCTCGCTCCTGCTGCACTTGTTGCCTTTTGGCTTCCCCTGCAGCCCCAGCACCGGGGAACAGCTGCTCTCTTGGCTCAGCCCGTGAGAGCCTTGCAAAGAAAGCTCAGAGAAAGCTCTCCGGCGTCGTTTGGCAATGGTCCCTTCCCTTGCCGACTCAAGTATGAAAGGTTGTGCTTAGGTCTGCACATAAATTACACCCCGGGCTGTTGAGCTGCGGTGCCTTGGAACGAGGAGGCTTTTCACAGCACAAAATGACAGCGTTAGGTTGAGGGTTGAAATCTTGGGTTTCAAATGAGGAAATTAAGCCAGGCAAAACTATACACGTACCTGATCGTATAAAGCCATCTGATAATCAGAGCCTTTTTCTCTGCTTTAAAAAGAAGTAGCTCTTATGACCCCAGGAGGTTGGGGGTTTTTTTCCCTTTTTCTTTTTTTTTGTTTTTTCTTTTTTTTGCATTTGATCACAGAAACAATCTTTGAGAATCATAAACACCATCACAATGTTACACACTTGCACATAAGTCGTGAAGATCCCCTTACCATGTAGAGCATGTTGCTGGCTGGTGGATTCACTCCAGACCGGAATCTGTTATGGGTTCGCACACATTCCTCAATAAACTTTGGATCTCCAACATCAGGTAATGTCGGTGGTTCATAGGAGTCAGAGGAACGACAGAAGTGCAGTAAAGCCAGCACACAAGCAGAAAATCTGCTTGTCATGATTCTCAGCCTCTTTAAAAGCAGAGTGTTTCAGCTGTATGAGGTGGTTTTAGCTTCACCAGCAGCGTTCTGCTTGGAAGGCTTGTGGGCTGGACTTATCTTAGCCATGGTAATTGAATATGGCGCTGGTCACAGGAAATGAGTCATATCTGAGGAGCGTTGCTATGAGAATAAGGAAATGAAGCTACAAGTTCACATCAGAGCTGTGGCAGCTTTCTCTCTCTCTTTTTTTCTTCTTTCTTTAATTGTGGTGGGCAGGCTGCTTCTCTCCTGTCCTTTAGGCTTCTTTGTTTTTGTTTCTTTGGCCCCCACCATCCCATCCATAGCAATCTCTATGGATTGCAGTAAAGGTTTGGGTAAATTTTCTGCTTTTCATGAAAGTAGCATTGCTGTTAAGGCTGTTACTCTGAGCCAAAATGCTGTGAGAAATAATTGATTTGAACTATGACTTTTACTACAGTATGAACAGTCACTTTGGTTGTACATCGAGTTATTGGAGGAGTAAGTTTGGCTGAGAACTGCAATTTAAATATGCTGCAGTTATTGATGGGTTTCTCCTGTGATCACATGCTTGTGCTATGTGTTGCTACCAACTTCTCCACCCAAGCTTTAGCAATTCGTAATTCATTCCTTGCAGCCGAAGCCCCCAGCAGAGCTGGGTGCTATGAAGGTTGGTGCTGTCTCATGCCGGGTGCCCAGCCCCCACACTGGGTTTCACAGCCAGGAGTTGGGAGCTGACTTCCCATGCACGTTGCCTTGGGTGCCCAACACTCCCTGCTCAGACCTACCACCATCACCACCCTCTTCCTCACACTGCCCTTGACGATCACCTGTCCATCAAGCTCAGGCCCTTTCCCACAGTCCCAACCTGGACATCTCTGTGGGAATGAGGTTGGGTTTCTTCCCACTCCAGATTTCCTTTTAGGAATCTGCATCCTTTGAACAGCTGGGTGTAGGTCCCAGTTATCAATTCTGCGCATGCAGTCCTGCAGGTGTTGAGGCTGGTGGCAAGGCCACCTTCAGGTTGGTGGTTTGGGGTCACACTGTGAGCCTTCAACAGCAGCCCCACCAGCACACATTGGGTCCTGTGGGTTGCACATCTCCAGCTATTCATGGGGAGACTGTTTACAGGTGAAAAGGCCCCCTGAGGGAATCGTGGATGAGACACACTGTGCTTGCAACTCCCCTTCGGACCACTTTTTAGAGCAGAATAATGTGTTGGGTTGACCCCTGCCATCAGCCAAGCACCCACACAGCTGCTCACTCACTGCCCCTTCCCCAGCAGGACGGGGGGAGAAAACAGGAAGAAGAAAAGTGAGAAAACTCAAACTCATGGGTCAGGATAAAGACAGCTTAATATGTGTGTAAGGGGCTGGGCGGGGGGGGAACAAACAAACAAACAAAAATCCCAAGTGATGCAAAGGCAATCACTCACCACCCCCAATGGCAGACTAATGCCCAGACAGTCTCCAAGCAATGGCCACCCTGGAAGCCAGCCCTCCACCTTTCTTCTTCTTCTACCCCAGTTTTTTTTGCTGAACACAATGTTATATGGTACAGAATACCCCTTTGGTCAATTCGGGTCAGCTGTCCCAGCTGTGTCCTGTTCCCAACCACTTGCCCCCAGCCTACTTGCTATGATATGAAAGATGGCAGCAGACAAGAATTGACAACTGTGAAATTAAATATGTATCTTCTTACAAGGTGACATTTTTGCAGCATATGGCAAGAGCCCAAACATTTGGGGCTCATTTTTATTTTGTGGAATGCCATGCTCCTTCAGAGCTGCAACGTGGCTCAGAATTTGAGTCACTGTGTTCTCAAAACATTAGGACTAAGATAAAGGAGGGGAATCAGCTTTAAATATTGATAGCACAGTTATGCATTGCTAATATCAGCCAGTATCTCTTAGCTTGAAGGATGTGTTTGTTTCCCTTACTAACAAATGTATCTAGGAACAACAGGGGTCGAGGGCTAAATGTCTCTAAAACCAAACTGAATCCATCAACAGTTTGGGCTTTTTTAATGAGGCTGAGATCTTCCATTTCCGAACCAGAATCTGTCCTGGGCCCATTTCATCTTCCCTCTTCTGTTTTATTGCCCTGCTTCCCGCCCTTTCCCTGCCTGCAAGCTCAGGATGGCTGTCATCTACTCTGCATTTCAGATTTTGTCACCATCTCACATCCTAAAATTAAGCTCTCTCCATTGACACTCCATCTTAATCCTTGCTCGATCAACTTTCCCTGGTATTCTTCTAGCTATGGAGGACAAAGCTTAACTCTGAGAGGAGAAGAACAGAATAGTACAACTGACAATAGAGTAACTTTAATGGAGGCTGATATACATAGGCTAAACAGAGTAAAGGACAAGCTATACTCTTTCTGTTCTTAAAAATAATAATTACAGTTAAATCTCCATTATCTGGGGAAAGCGATCTCTGGGATAATTGAAGGTTAATGGAGATGAGCTATTGCTTCTTTTGGATCCGCTATGCCACTTCAGACTTGTCTTTGTGATGATGGTCCAGGTTTCCAGGAGGCTTGTTAGCATGTATATTAATATATAGTCTACGTGGTCCCCCTAGCAATCTACTCCTGAGCCAGAGCTAAGAGGCTTGTGCAGATGTAGAAGTGTGTTGCAGCTACTGCCAATAAATTACACTAACTCTATGCGCAGCCACTTATATCTTGCCTTGAGTGAAGAAGAAGCCTTTTCTATGCTGGATAAACATCACAAGGATAATGGAGAGATGACCAAATGCTTTTGCAAATGCTTGCAATTCTCTGAGAGTAATACAGCAGTAGGGTCACTATCGGTATCTTAATTGATCATTACTCATAAAAAAATGTGTGTGGAAACCGCTGTTGTACTAAGAGAACAGCACCAGCACTCAGTACCAAAAACACTGGCCTTAAAATTAAAACAGTAAGACAGTACTGGTCACACGAGGGATGCGGATGCTTAGCAGGTGGGATGTACGGTGGCGCGGGAGGCCTCGGGGGACGGGGCCGCGGTGGCTGGGGCTGTGTATCCCAGTCTGGATACCAGTCGGAATAATCTAAAAAACAGTGAAGAAACAGCTGTTAAGACCCATCAAACTTAGTCATTGCCATGGTTTAACCCCAGCCGGCAACTAAGCGCTTACAGGAAAGCAATTAAGAACAATTTGATACGTACTTATCAGCTTCTCACGTTCTGTATTTTCTGCAGAGAGATCAGAAAAGGAAATAAATGTGAGTATCATTCAGTGGTGATTCTTAAGCAAGGTAAAGAGGTAAGCCATTGCTGCTGCCTGGCTGATTGCACTGACGATGCCAGTCAGTGCCTAAAACATCCTGCAAGGGTGAAGCAGGCCAACAAGAGCAGGTTCCCAACTGGTGTGGGGCTCATATTTTTTATTGAATTGAACGAGAAGCAGAGAAGAAGCAGCTGTATTAGGAAGAGTTTATGTCAGGGGAGGAGGGAATAGCAAATAAAATCAAAGCATGGAATTCGTTTAAAATTGATACACAAACCAAATTTAAGTAATTACAGACAGACAAATATAACTACTAAATTTATCACAGAAGTACAACTTTACTAAGAGCTTTGATGCATTTGCAGGATTGCCTACGTGCATCCTACTGGAATTGCTGATTTGGCCTATAGGAGAATATGGTAAAACAGGTTGTAGGATCTAGCACTTAATTTTTAAAAGCTTTCTTCCTCTTCTCCCTCCCCCTAGTCTTTGAGATGTTTCTAGTTTTCCTGTGATGCGTCAGTCTGAGACTTCAAGATGAGTCAGCCAGGATATCACAGAAGGAAATAAGAATACCAAATGCTCAATTATTTCTACAGCTGAAGCTATTTAGAGCCTAGATAGTAGAGACCATTCCCACCAAACCTCTGTATAAAATTCATATTTGATTTAAGACATTGTTGCATGTCCTTTAATCTCTGTTTATTTAAAACACTGTTTCTGACTAATTTGGGACTAGGTGTAATGACATAAAGGTCCACAGCTGCAAACTGCTGCGGAAAAACACGTTCTCACTGCTGTATTTCAGAAAATTGCAGAAGTTAGAAATAAGTGTGCTTTTCAGTTTCTGGAAAATGTGATAGGACATACTAAACAAGCAAGAAAGCAGAAGTTAAATATACTATTTCTGCTAGGAAAGAAGAACGAGACGGGGAATATTTGTTGGGGATCATGTTTTATATTTGACTTCCTGATCAGATAAAAGGCAGAAAGTAGTGTAACTGATACTTCTCTTCATCAGAAACTCTGGCTTCTACCTCTGAGAGCCTTCAACAGCGAAGTATTTTAATTAATTCCTTCTTATACTATTCTTACCAGGGTTTGGTACTGTTGCTGTGTGGTGGGCTACAGACCCACTATGTACTTCGTGCAAATTGACTCACTGTTATATTTCCACTGATAATTATGCCACTTTTACGTCTATGCAGTTTTCTTAGTTGATCAGTTTGGTCTTACCACAGAGGTTGTCTACACACTTCTCATTACTGCATCCGCTACATGGTCGTCCTGCTTTATATGGTTTTCTTGGGTAATTCCCCCTGCAAAGCAAAAGAACAGTATTTTGTTAGCTCAGTCATTTGAAAAGCAATTTAAATACACGTTTTAGTCAGACTGTTAGAATAATTTAACATGCAAAGCTATTGGGGGGGGGAAATCCCTTTATCCAAAAACCGATCATCGCAATTGTTTGGAATTCCTTTTAGATCAGATTAAAGCTCTCACTGGCATGGCAAGCAGCTACCTGGTGACTCTCACCATGTGAAATTAATGAGACTTCTTGGGCAATATTGTATCATTCAGTGTAAGCATACAAGAATCTGCCTCTAGTCCCTCATTACCCATCTGTATTTTTTAAAAATCTGTAAAAGGTAAGTCCAGAAATTGCAAGGTACGAGATAAACTAGAAGACTGTCTTCCTTTTATTTCTTCAATTAAAATGTCTTGTTTGAAGTTTGGGTGGGGCCATAGAAAGATGTAATCT